TCAGGAGTTTGAGACCAGCCTGATAAATATGGTGAAACCCTCTCTCTATTAAAAATACAAAAACTAGCTGGGCATGGTGGTGTGTGCCTGTAATCCCGCTTCTCAAGAGGCTGAGGCAGGAGAATCGCTTGAACCTGGAAGGTGAAGGTTGCAGTGAGCCAAGGTCGCACCCCTGCATTCCAGCCTGGGTGACGGAGCAAGGCTCTGTCTCAAAAAAAAAAAAAAAATGTTACATGCCGTATTTACTCCTTCCTCTATTGCTGGACATTTGGGCTGCTTTCAGTTCCATCGTACAGTGTCACAATGGTGTCTTTGCATGTGGCTTCTGGTTTCTGTAGGCGTTTCCTGAGGGTAGGTAACGAGAGGGAGCACCTCTTCAACTTTCCTAGATTTTACCAAATTGCTCTCCAAAGTTACACTCCTCCTGAGTGTGTGTGGACCTACACCCTGCCCCCGCACACCTCCTCCTCCATCCCTGGCACGGCTGGGTAGGAAATGCGATCTCACTGTGACTTGATTTTGCCTTTCCTGGTCCTGGATAAAGTTGAGCATCTTTCTTACATTTACTGGCCATTTGGACTTTTTTCTTCTGTGAAACTTTTCTTTCACTTTATAAAACAGATTTGCCCTTCGGGTTTTTTCTAATGCCATGTTCTAGCAGTACCTAAGAAAGCGTAGCCCCTGGCTGGGCGAGGGGCTTCAGGAGGCTGAGATGAGAATATTGCCTGAGGCCAGGTTTGAGATCTCCTGGGCGACATAGTAAGACCCTGTCTCTACTAAAAATTTAAAAGTTAGCCAGTTATGGTGGCACGTGCCTGTAGTTCCAGCCACTCGGAAGGCTGAGGTGGGAGGATTGCTTGATCCTGAGAGTTTGAAGTTGCAATGAGCTATGATGGAGTTGCTGCACTCCAGCCTGGGCAACAAAAGCAGACTGTCTCAAAAGAAAAAAAAAGTGGTGCCCCACAGGCCAGGTGAGATATGGAGAAAAAATTCCTTAGGCATCTGTAGTCCAGGGTCTGGCTCTCACTTGACATTTATTACCTATGTGATTTGAGGTAAATGTCCTCCTCTCTGCTTTTTTAAAAAAGCTTATTATTTATTTATTTCTATTTATTTTTTAGTTTTTGAGAGAGAGTCTCACTCTGTCACCCAGACTGGAGTGCAGTGGCGTGATCTTGGCTCACTGCATCTTCTACCCCCTGGGTTCAAGCGATACTCCTGCCTCAGCCTCCTGAGTAGCTGGGATTACAGACAGCCTGGCTAATTTTTTTTTGGTATTTTTAGTAGAGATGGGCATTTCACCATGTTGGCTAGGCTGGTCTCGAACGCCTGACTTCGTGATCCGCCCACTTTGGCCTCCCAAATTGCTGGGATTACAGGCATGAGCCACCTCGCCTGGCCAAAAAGCTTATTTATTTTTAAAGTATGCAACTCGGGTTTTCACTATATTCACAAAGCTGTGCAACCTTCACCACTCTAATTCCAAAAAGAAATCCTGTCCCGACTCGTGGTCACTCTCTTCTACCGCCAGCCTCTGGCAGCCTCACATTCATTGTTGGTCTGTACGGACTATTCTATTCTGCGCATTTCATGTAGATAAGATCACACCGTATGTGGCCTTTTGTGTCTGACTTCTTTCAGGTAGTATAAAGTTTTTGGGGTTCAACATGTTGCGGTACATAGTTGTAATTCATTTCTTTTTACTGCTGAATAACGCTCCATTGTATGGATACGTCACATTTTGTTTATCTGTTTTTCATAGTCGGGTCTTGGGGTTGTTTCCACTTTGTTGGTTTTATAAGTAGTCCTGCTGTCAGCATTCACGTTATAAGTTTTTGTGTGGACCTAGATTTTCAATTTTCTTGGGTACATACCCAGGCATAGAATTGCAGGGTCATATGGTAGCCTTTATGTTGAACTTTTCAGAGAACCACCACACTGTTTTTCATAGCCAATATACCATTTTGTATTCCCACCACGAATGTGAGTGGGTTCCACTTCCCCACATCCTCACCTCTCCTGTTACTGTCCACCTTTTGAATTCCAGCCACCCTAGCAGTGTGAGGTGGTATCTCACCGAGGTTCTGATTTGCATTTCCTTGGTAACTAATGAGGTTGAACTTCTTTTCATGTGCTTATTGGCCAACTGTATATCTTCTTTGGAGAAAGGTCTAATTATATCCTTTCTTACTTTTAAAATTGGGTCATTTGACTTTTTATTGTTGACTTGTAAGAGTTCTGTATATATTTGGCCAGGCACAGTGGCTCACGCCTGTAATCCCAGCACTTTGGGAGGTAGAGGCAGGTGGATCATGAGGTCAGGAGTTCAAGACCAGCCTGACCAACATGGTGGAACCCTGTCTCTACCAAAAATACAAAAATTAGCCAGGTGTGCTGGCATGCACCTGTAATTCCAGCTAGTCAGGAGGCTGAGGGAGGAGAATCTCTTGAACCTAGGAGATGGAGGCTGCAGTGAGCCAAGATCACGCCACTGCACACCGGCCTGAGGGACAGAGTGAGACTCCATCTCAAAAAAAAAAAAAAAAAAATAAATAAAAAATCTGTATATATTCTAGATGCAAATCCCTTGTCAGATATATGATTTGCAAATATTTTCTCCTATTCCATGGTCTTTCTTTTCACTTTCCCAATGGTGTCCTTTGAAGCACAAAAGTTTTTCATTTTGATAAAGTCCAACTTATCAATCTTTTCTTTGGCTGCCTGTGCTTTTTGGTGTCATATCTAAGAAACTATTGCCTAATACAAGGTCATGAAGATTTATGCTTATGTTTTCTTCTAAGAGTTTTGTACTTTTAGCTCTTACATTTAGGTTTGATCTATTTTGAGTTAATTTTTGTATATGGTGTGAGGTAGGGATCCACCTTTATTTTTTTGAATTTGGCCATCCCCTGGAGAATCACTTGAACCCAGAAGGTGGAGGCTGTAGTGAGCTGAGATTGCACCATTGCCCTCCAGCCTGGGCAAGAAGAGCAAAACTCCATTTAAAAATAAAATTATAGCTGGGAACAGTGGCTCACGCCTGTAATCCCAGCACTTTGGGAGGCCAAGGTGGGCAGATCACAAGGTCAAGAGATCGAGACTATCCTGGCCAATATGGTGAAAGCCCCTCTCTACTGAAAATACAGAAATTGGCTGGGCGTGGTGGCATGTGCCTGCAGTCCCAGCTACCCTGGAGGTTGAGGCAGGAGAATTGCTTAAACCCAAGAGGCAGAGGTTGCAGTGAGCCAAGATTGTGCCATTGCACTCCAGCCTGGCACCTGGTGATGGAGCAAGACTCTGTCTCAAAAAAAAAAAAAAAAAATTAATTAATTTAAAAATAAAATAAAATTAATTAAAAAAAAAAAAAAGAATTTGGCCATCCTGTTGTCCCAGCACCATGTACTGGAAAGACTATTCTTTTTCCCTTTTAATTGTCTTGGCATCTTTGCCAAAAAGCAACTGACAATAACTGAGAGAATTTATCTCTGCATTTTCAGTTTTATTCCATTCATCTATATCTCTGTCCTTATGTCAGTACCACACTGCTTGATTACTGTAGCTTTGTAGTAATGACATAGTTTCCCCAGAGGTAAACCAGAAAGCATGTTTCTTGCTTGTCTCAGAGGACTGTCTAGGCCAGTGGTTCTCAAAGTGTGGTCCCTGGACCAGCAGCATTACTAGAAACTTGTCAGAAATGCAAATTCCCAGGCAACACTTCAAACTTGCTGAATCTGAAACTCTGCAGGTGGGGCCTAGCAATCAGTGTTTTAACAAGCACATCAGGGGATTCTGATGCACACTAAAGTTTTGCATTCACAGGTCTATATGTGTCCAGTGTGATAGCCACTAGCCGCATATGACTATCAAGCACTTGAATTGCAGCTAGTCCAAATTAAGAAATGCTGTAAGTACAGAACACACACTGAGTTTCAAAGACTTACTATAAAAAGAATACAAAATATCTCATTCACAATTTTTAGAATGATTACATGTTGAAGTAATAATATGTATATATACACATATGATTAACATTATGTCCACCCCCCATTAGCCATGGAGCTATTATGTTTCAGGGAGAAATTTACCTACTGACCCTTGCAGGGCATGTCCTCGGCACATGCACCAGGAGCTCTAGCTCCCAGAACAGGAGCCACCATCAGGAGCAGAGCTGGAAAGGCGGGCAGCATTTTCCGGTTCCAGCTGGTTTGAAGCAGAGGTGAAGGCTGCTGCTGTGTTTGGCTTCGGGTTTTGTGTTTTAGCAGGGGTGTTCTGTAGCCAGCCAGACTCTGGACTGCTCCCCTCTCCGCTGACATGGAAAAAATGTCCGTGTGTTGTAAGGAGCCCCAAGCTGGGGTTTCTGCCTTCCACATTGGGGCCTGTGCCGCTGCTGATGTGGCTTCCCAGCCTGTACTGGACAACCATGTGTCATGGCCTCAGGCCCCCTCCACCCCACTGTGTACCAGCAATGGTACAGAAGTCTAACCCAACTCTTTGGAGCCACTACTATCAGCAGAAAGGGGTCCCAGTCCAGACCCCAAGAGAGGGTTCTTGGACGTCACACAAGAAGGAATTGGGGGCAGGTCCACAGAGCAAAGTGAAAGCAAGTTTATTAGCAAAGTAAAGGAATAAAGAATGGCTACTCCACAGGCAGAGCAGCGGCATGGGCTGCTCAGCTGTTTATGCTTATAGTTATTTCTTGATTACATGTGAAACAAGGGGTGGATTATTCATGAGATTCCCAGGAAAGACATGGGCAATTCCTAGAACTGAGAGCTCTTCTCCCTTCTAGACCATGTATGGTAATTTCCTGATGTTGCCATGGCATTTGTAAAATGTCATGGCACTAGTGGGCATGTCTTTTAGTGTGCTGACACATTATAATTAGCATATAATGATCAGTGAGGATGACCAGAGGTCATTCTTGTCACCACCTTGGCTTTGGTGAGTTTTGGCTGGCTTCTTTACTGCAAATTGTTTTAACTTTTATTGTTTTTTCTTTTCTGTGTCCCTCATTTCACAATACAGACCAGGCCCAGGGCCTGGGTGGAGGTGTATATGGGGTAGGTTTACTCTACCTCCTCTTCCTCTAGAGTCAGTGTAAGAACAGCCTGGGGGTGAACACCAGGAGGCCTACTGCAACCTGTTTTATCAGCAAGGTCTTTGTGATCTGTATACCTTGTGCGGACCTCCTGTCTCATCCTGTGACTTAGAATACCTAACCTCTGGGGAATGCAGTCCAGCAGGTCTCAGCCTTATTTTACCCGGTCCCTATTCCAGATGGAGTCGCTCTGGTTCAAATGCCTCTGACACTCCTTGAAGATGTGTAGTCCTGGAGCACATTTCACATTTTACAAAGCCATTTCCCAGTCCTTGGTGCCTTGGCCTCCCTCCCTTAGGTCATCTGAGGACCAGCTGTCGGGGGGAAAGGAACTCAGAGAGGTTGGGTGTCTGCTCAGGTGATGCCGATAGCGCCTGCTGAGCAGGCCAGCACCTGCAGCCTCCGACTGACGCTGTGATGGCTTTCTTTATGTGTGTGGGCGGAGTGGTCAGTCTGTGGGAGAATGATGATGAGGGTGAGGACACGACAATGAAGTGACATGCCCATCACTTCTTGAGGCGCCACCTTGACAGAGGCCCTTTGCACACATTGCCTCTTTTAATCCAAGGGAGACATGATTCATATGCACATTTTACAAATTAGAAAATTGGGATCCTGGATTGGGACCTGATCAGGGTTGCTAAAGGGAATGTTTTAAGTTTGCTAATTGGGAGGAGGGAAGAGTGAGCAGGGAGGGGGAAAGCAGCTTTTTGGGATTTTTTTGAGACGAGGTCTGGCTCTGTCACCCAGGTTGGAGTGCGGTGGCATGATCTGGACTCACTGCAACCTCCACCTCCCAGGCTCAAGCCATCCTCCCACCTCAGCTCCCCAAGTGGCTGGGACTACAGGCATGTACCACCATGCTTGGCTAATTTCTGTGTTTTTAGTAGAGATGGGGCTTCGCCATGTTGCCCAGGCTGGTCTCAAACACCTGGGTTCAAGCGACTCACCTGCCTTGGCCTCCCAAAGTGGTGGGGTTACAGGCGTAAGTTTTGTTTTTTTCCTGAGAGCATCCAATGTTAGTTCATTTAAGGCTCTCAACCACTAAAGAGGTAGGTCGTAGGTCAAGCTGTCTACTTTATAGAAGAGTCTGGGAGTCCAGGCTTACCTGACTTGGAGGCCTGTTCATTTTCCCGGGTACCTCCAAAGGCCACTCAGTGAGCAGACAGTGCAGCTCCAGAGCACTCCCCTGGCAAGTCCCGCCCTGGCCCATAACCAGCCCTGTTCCCCAGCAGCCATGGTCGGGCAGAGGGGTCAGGGAAGCAGGGCAAGAGGGTAAGGCACTGCTCAAGAAACAAAACCAGGTCCTTAATGCCCTTAGCCCTGCTGGGCAGGGTCCCAGGACCCAGCCTTGAGATTAGAGAGGGGTAGAGGGCAGACAGAGTAGGATACAGAAGGAAAAGTACCAGGGCATGTCTCCTGGCTTAGGCTTAGACTGCCATGATGAAACACCACAGACTGGGTGGCTTCAACAACGGAAAGTTATTTCTCAGAGTTCTGGAGGCTGGAAGTTCAAGATCAAGGCGCTGCTGGCTGATCCTTTTCTGGTAAAGGCCGGCTTTCTGACTTGTAGACAGTCACCTTTTTGCTGTGTTCTCACATGGCCTTTCCTTGGTGCATGGAGAGGAAGAAAGACTTCTCTCTCTTCCTCTTCTATGACCACCAATCCTATTGGGTTGGGCCTCCACCCTTACGACTCTTTTAACCTTAAGTATCTCCTAAAAGCCCTATCTCCAAATATAATTTCGTTAGGGGTCAGGGCTTCAACAAAGGAATTGGGGTGGTAGTGGTCCACAGCGGTGGGGGTGGATATTTTAGCTTATCTTGAGTTTGTAAGGATGAAGGGGAAAGGGGGTGCCCATCGGAACCTGCCTCTGAGTCACACTTCCTGGACGAGCCATGGGCCACAGCATCTGTATCAGGAGTGGCCAGGAAACAGCACGCCTCAGCAATAAACAAGATGACCTAATGATCCAATTTTCCCAGCTGTCCAGCTACAGATTTGAGGCAGAATCCAGCGATTCTGCTGGAGGACAGGTCATGGTAAATTTCTAACTCTCTCCTTTCCAGGCACGGCTTTGGTTTCCTGCTGCAGCTGGGGCCGGGGAGTTATTTGGGCATTTCCTCTGCCTGTGGGCTGCTGGGGTTAGGGGAAGGGCGAGGCCAGAAATGCTGCCTCCAGCCTAAGTCAGCGTCACCCATGCTATTCCCGGCAGCTGCATTTCTCCACTCTGTGATTACAAATGAAACTGGGGAATAGAATCAAAAGAGGACCTACAAAGAAGCTAGCCTCCACTTCCGCAAACATTTTGGGGCAGGAGTTTGTGAGCTGGAACCACGTTATTTGCGAGATTCTCCCTGGTGGATGTACACTCAAGTATTAAAGTGCTACAAGCAATTTAAAAAAAAAATAGTATTCCTTCCAGAGCCTGTGTGGGCCCAGCACAGTGACATTTAATCTGGCTGTTAGACCTGGCTGTTACTGATTCTAATACGTGGCCTTGGACATTTCATTTCTCCAAGTATAGCTTTCCTCATCTGTAAAATATGGAAATAATCTTTAGAATGTTGGAGACAGTATATGTAAAGGGACTGCAGAAACAATAAAGTCCAAATCCCAATGACATTTTTTGGAGAAAAAAAAAATCCTAAAATTCACATGGAATCTCAAGGGACCCCGAATAGCCAAAACAATCTTGAAAAAGAACAAAGTGTGGGGTAGGGAGGTTGGGGAGGGATAACATTGGGAGAAATGCCAGATATAGGTGACTGGGGGATGGAGGCAGCAAATGACATTGCCATGCATGTACCTATAAACAATCCTGCATGATCTGCACATGTACCCCAGAACCTAAAGTACAATAAATATATATATATATATTTTAAAAAAGCTACAAAACATAACACAACATGAAAAAAAAGAAAAAGAAAAAGAACAAAGCTGGAGGACTCATACTTCCTGATTGCAAAACTTACTACAAAGCTACAGTAATCAAAACAATGTGGCATTGGAATAAAGATTGACATATAGATCAATGGAATAAAATAGAGAGCCCAGAAATAAACCTTTGAATGTATGGTCAAATGATTCTTGGCAAGGGTGCCATGACACTAATGATAAAAGGACAGCTTTTTCAACAAATGGTGCTGGGAAAACTGGATATCTACATGCAAAAGAATGAAGCTGGACCCTTACCTAACACGATATACAAAAATTAACTCAAAATAGATCAAAGACCTAAAAGTAACCTAAAACTATACAATTTTTAGGAGAAAATTTGGAGCAAAATCTCCACAATGTTGGATTTGGCAGTGATTTTTTGGATATGACATTAAAGACACAGACAACAAAGAGAAATAGACAAATTGGATTTCATAAAAATTCTGTGCATCAAAATGCAAAATCAGGCCTGTGCAGTGTCTCATGCTTGTAATCCCAGCACTTTGGGAGGCCATGGTGGGCAGATCATTTGAGGTCAGGAGTTTGAGGCCAGCCTGGCCAACATGGTTAAACCCCATATCTACTAAAAATACAAAAATTAGCCAGGCCTGGTGGTGCATGCCTGTAGTCCCAGCTACTTGGCAGGCTGAGGCGAGACAATCGCTTGAACCTGGGAGGCAGAGGTTGCAGTGAGCCAATACCACACCACTGTACTCCAGCCTGGGCGACAGAGCAAGACTGTGTCTCAAAAAAAAACAAAAGCAAACCAAAAAACAAAACAAAAAGGCAAAATTAACAGAGTAAAAAGTCAACCCACACAATGGAAGAAAATGTTGGAAAATCATATATTTGATAAGAGATTAATATCCAGCATATAGAGAGAACTCCTAACACTCAACAACCAAAACACTAAACAACGATTAAAAAATGGACAAAGGACTTCACTAGATCTTTCTCCAAAATACACATGAAAAGATGTTTATATAAGTAATCATTAGGGAAATGTAAATGAAAACCACAATGAGACACCAGCTCATACTCATTAGGATGGCTACTATCAAAAACAAGCGCTGGCAGTGAGGATGTGAAGAAACTGGAATGCTGTACACTGTTTGGCAGATGTAAAATGGTACAGACACTGTGGAAAATATTATTATGATGCTTACTCAAAAATAGAATTACCATATAATCCAGCAATTCCACTTCTGGGTATATACCCAAAAGAATTGAAAATAGGATCTTGAAAAGATATTTGTGTACCCATGTTCATAGCAGCATTATTCATAATAGTTAAAATGTGGACACGACCCAAGTATTTATCGACAAGCGAGCAGATAAACAAAATGTGGCATACATACAATAGAATGTATTTTAAGAATTATTCAGCTTTAAAAAGGAAGGAAATTGGCCGGGTGCAGTGGCTCACACCTGTAATCCCAGCACTTTGGGAAGCCGAGGCGGGCAGATCATGAGGTCAGCAGATCGAGACCATCCTGGTCAACATGGTGAAACCTCGTCTCTACTAAAAATACAAAAATTAGCTGAGTGTGGCGGCGCGCACCCGGAGTCCCAGCAACTTGGGAGGCTGAGGCAGGAGAATTGCTTGAACCTGGGAGGTGGAGGTTGCAGTGAGCCGAGATCGCGCCATTGCAGTCCAGCCCAGGCAACAAGATAGAAACTCCACCTCAAAAAAAAAAAAAAAAAAAAAAAGGAAGGAAATTCTGACATATACTACAACATAGATGAATCTTGAGGACATTCTGCTAAGTGAAATAATCCAGTTGCAAAAAGAAAATACTGTATGATTCCACTTATATGAGGTATTAGAGAGGGGGTCATGATTTAATGGGTATAGAGTTTCAGTTTTACAAACTGAAAAGGGTTCTGGAGGTGGATGGTGGTGATGGTTGCTCATCGTTAGTGTATTTAATACCACTGAACTGTTCAGTTTAAAATGATTAAGATGGCCGGGCGCGGTGGCTCAGGCCTGTAATCCCAGCACTTTGGGAGGCCGAGGGGGGCGGATCACGAGGTCAAGAGATCGAGACCATCCTGGTCAACATGGTGAAACCCCGTCTCTACTAAAAATACAAAAAATTAGCTGGGCATGGTGGCGCGTGCCTGTAATCCCAGCTACTCAGGAGGCTGAGGCAGGAGAATTGCCTGAACCCAGGAGGCGGAGGTTGCGGTGAGCCAAGATCGCGCCATTGCACTCCAGCCTGGGTAACAAGAGCGAAACTCCGTCTCAAAAAAAATAAAATAAAATAAAATAAAATGATTAAGATGATAAATTTTATTTTATGTGCATTTTATCACAATAAAAATTAGAAAAAATTGTCTTAAGATATTAAGAACAATCAGAATTATTTCTGTCTTGTTTACAATAATCATATGAAAAACAAATTGTTTATCTAGCATGACACCAGCTATGGGTTGAATTGTTCCCCTCAAAAGATGCTGAACTTCTAACCCTTGGTACCTGTGAATGTGAGTTTATTTGGAAATTGGGTCTCTGGAGATGATCAAGTTAAGTGAGGTAATTAGGGTGTGCCCTAATCCAATAATGACTGTGTCCTTATGAAAAGGGGAAAAGAGACAGACAGGTATAGAGAGATGTGAATTCACAGGGAGCACACATGGCCATCCATAAGCCAAGGAATGCATGAGGTTTCCAGAAGCTAAGATACAGACATGAAACAGACTGGCCCCACATCCCTCAGAAGGGGCCAGCCCTGCCCATACTTTGATCTTGGACTTCCAGCCTCCAGAGCTGTGAAACAACACATTTATGTTGTTTAAGCTGCCCAGTTGGAGGTGCTTGTTACAGTCGTCCCAGGAAATTATACAACATCTTACCTGAATTTGCTTTCTTCTTCGATGTAGTTAATTAAATTCAAAACTACATATTGAATAATGACAGTATGCTCTCTCTCCATGTAGCTTCAGAGGGGGTAGAGAGTCCTTTTCCTGAAAGAACAGGAAGGACACAAGGGAAGGGACCAACTTGCATCTCATCTGAGAGAGATACACTTCTGGATAAGAGGTCTGTGGTTAAGTGTGTTTCTCTAGTAGTTCAGAGAGAGGAAGCACCTGCAGGCTAAGACACTGAGAGCTAGGTGAGGGCTGACCTAAGTTCTGAAGGATGGATGGGTTATGGGTTGGAGGGGAAGATGGAAAAGCCACAGGGGAGAGGAGCAGCATGGGCCAAGTGTGGAGGAACCAGTGAGTGGGCTGGGTTTCAGGAAGGGGCCTCGGTCTGCTTTTGAGCCCTGCCTGAACTTTTCCACCCCACCGTGCCTCCTGCCTGTGTCTGCCATTCTCTTCCCGTCCAGTGGTCCTGGTGTATGTGGACAGCCTTTGCCCCTTTGCCCTGTGCTTGGGAGAAATGTGCTCAGTTTCTGTGGCAGGGGTGCTGCTATGCGTTTATCAAATCGGCTTCGTTTTCTTCTGGAACATTCAGGAAGACCACAGGTCCCAGAGCCCCTTGCATCCCGGTGCGGCTGTGCGACCACTTCTGGCCCATGGATGTGGGTGGAAGCGATGTGTGCTGCCCCAGGCCGGATTCCGGGACCCCACCTAGTGCTGTCTCTTCTCTTGCTGGAGGTAGGAGAACCAGCAGCGGCCTTGGAAGCCCTAAAGACGCCTGGGGAATCCCAAGGTGGAGGAGGCCAGTTCCGTGCCTGGTGGAGGCTTCTGCTGTCAGGGTGAGCTGCAGCCCGAGTGAGAATTAGGGTCTTACTTGTGACCACAGCACGACCGATCCTGCTCTGGCTGACAGTCACTGCTGCAGTCACCCTGCTGATGGGTCTGGGCCTTGGCCTCTAACTGAGGTCTTCTCACCTGTAACCCCACCGGCCCTTTGCCTGGACACTTCACGGGGAGCTCGAGTGGCCTTGGCTAAGGAGGAGGCATGGCGCCCGCAGGTACCGGGCCGCCTGCATCGGTCGGTGCAGTCGGGTCCACCGCCCACCGGCATGACTTCATGTAATCCTCACTGCAGGGCCCACGGGGAGGGGAACTTCCTCCAGGTCTAGCTTTGCCTTTCTGCCTTCAGAGCCAAGGAAGGAGGGGTCTGGACCCAGCCCACTTTCCCAGCAAGGCCCTGCGCTTGCACGTTGCTCTGGAGGCCTCTGTAGCAGTTCACTGTTTTCCGTGAAGGAGGAGTGGAAGGAGGGATTGAGCTCTCCCCGAGAGACGCCGGAAAGACAGTTTGTCTCAGCCTCACACGATCGCCCAGCTCCACATTTCTGGCTGTTTCTGTGGTTACCTTTCTTCGGGGATGTTTGGGGCGGGAGGGGTGTGTGTGTGTATTTGCTTTTCTGAAGCCGTTTTTCCGGAGCCCCTGATGGTGGGGGGCGGTGCTCTGGGAAGCGGGGTCCCTGGTTCCACTCTGGGCAGGTGCAGGGTATGGAGGACGCCCCCCTCGTCGAGAGCCAGGAGATGCCAGTTCGGCGCCTCTCCCGCGTGGAGCCCGAAGACCACAGATGTTAGGAAGGAGGAGCTCAGGAAACACGCCCCTGCTCCCTTCCGTGGTTAGGTGGGGAAACCGAGGCTGAGGCGGCCCAAGAGACTCGCCTAAGCAGCCTGGGGAGTCACCGCAGGTAGCCAGGGCTGGAGCCAGGCCTCCCACTTCAGGCCTGAGCGGGCGCGGGAAGGGGTGCGAGCTGCACGCAGGGCTGGGGACGGGGCCGGGGCAACTCGTCTCTTCCCCTTCCTAGGCCGCCAGGGCCACTTCCTGCGGGGTGGGGGCGGGGGGCGCGGGCGCGTGGCACGGGCGCAGGGCTGGCCCCTCCCGGGCGCCGCCTCTCGGCCTCTCCTACACCCGCAGGCCAGAGGCCAAAGGTTAGGGGAGCGGAACCGGTGCCCAGCTCCGCCCCTGTCCCAAAAGCCACTGGGGGCTGGGACCGAGCAGGGCCGCAGCTGGGCCGCGAGGGCCGTGGAGCTGCGAGGGGCAGGGGCGGCGAGGGCCCAGCGGGCGCTGACGGTCCGGTAGGGGGCGTGTCGTGTCGGGGGCGGGGCCTGGAGGGCGGGGCCGGGCCTGGAGGGGCGGGGCCCCAGGAAACTTGAGCGCCCGCCTCCGGCCGCGAGCCCCGCCCCGGCCCCCGCCTCTGGGTCCTGCCTTCGCGTCTCTTCCTTCCCGGAGCTGGCAGGCGGGCCGCGGCGGCGGCGGCGGCGAGCGGCGGCGGCTGGCGGCGGACGGGCGGACTGGCGGGCGCCTCCACCTTGCTCCTTCCCTGGCTGCCGGCTTCCTTTTGTCCTTCTGGGCGGCGATGAGCGCGGGGCCGGCGCAGCAGCTGAGGACGCACAGAGGCCCGCGCTCCTAGTCACTCCTCCCGGCCTCGGCGGTCTTGTCCCGCGGAGCGGCCCGCGTACGCTGCAGCCGCCGCCGGCGCGGAACTTGGGCTTGGGAAGCCGGCGGACCGCGTCCTGCGCCGGAGCAGGTAGGGAAGGGCGGGCTGCGGGCGTGTTCACCGGCGTGTGCACCGGGGAGCGCTGCGAATCCGGCCGTGTGTTTGTGTGCGCGCGTGTGTGTCCGGGGGTGCCCGCGTTTCTCTGCGCGGTGGAGTTGTGGGTGACCGCGGACGGTGGTATGTCTTTCGAATGGCGCGTACTCGTGGGGATGTGTGTGCGCCTTAGTTGTGCACATTTTGGACTGCGTTTGTGGAATTGTGTGTCGGGACGCAGTTGCTGGTGGGGAGCGGTGCCTGGCGGGTGTCGTGTGTGAGCAGCTGTGCGTGGAGCGGGGTGGCGGGGTGGGCGTGGGCGGTCTCGTCCCTGTCCCCTGTGGGGTCCCCTGGGCGGTCCCGTCCCAGAGCCCCCTGTCCCTGCCGGTCGGCGCAGTGCGTAGCTTAGGAGCCTCCGGCACAGCTGGGACCCGACAGGGCAAGCGCGGGCCTCGCAGAAAGGCTGGGCCGGACCCTCGGGGACAGGTCCGCGCGGCCCACGTGGGTAGCCGGTGAGCTTCTGCCAAGGGTGGGGGCCCACGCGGAGGCGATCCTCAGGTTCCTCGCAGGGCTGTGGGGCGACGAGTAGAGCCCTGGCCTTCCCATGACCTGCACTGCGACCTGGGCCAGACGCGCCACATTCACGGGTCGCGGCTTGCTTCTCTTTCAAATGAGGACAGCTCCTCCCTCGGGGGCTGTGGTGACAGGTGAAATGAGAACGCACTGAATACAGCTCTTGGCTTAATGCCCCGCACACAGTAGGTGCTGTGTTAATTGGATTAGCGTCTGTTGTTTCAAATCTTTTTTTTTTCCCTTTATCGTGCGTGGGGCCTTACATTTCCCCCGGGCGTGTTTCCTGCCTCTCTCTGGCCCTAACTTAACGGCAAAGCACCGAGATTCCAGAAAGTTTAGCTGCCAGCTGCGCTGCCAGCTGCGCTGCCTCCTGCCGCACCTCCCGGGCGCTGCCGCCTCCGCCAGTGCCCGAGAGCGCAGCGCGGGGCCCACCCTGCCCCAGCCCCAGGGGCTCCCGCGCCGGCGTGGGGGGTCCCTCTCCTGGCCGGGAGGCAGCGACTGCGGAGTCGAGAGCCCTTTCGCTCAACAAGTGCCTAATCCCGGAGGATGCGGCTCAGCCGGTGGTGTCCCAGAGCCACGGCGTGAAATTGGTGCTTCCCGCACACGCAGAGCTCCGGCTCCCGAGGCATCCCGGTCAGGCCCGGCCACGCCAAAGGCCACCCCTTTCCTCCCGACTGACCCCAATTCCACCAGAGGAAGATGTTTGCCAGGTCGCCGAGTCCAGCCGAAGGCCTCGGCATTAGATACCCCCCCAGCACCAGCCCCTGCCACCCCTGCTCCCTTGCAGCCAGCCTCATGCCCGGGGGCCACATGGGACCCCTCCTCCTAGTCCCACCCCTTAATTTAAAACGCATTTACTTTTGAAACCTACTACTCATAAAATTGAACCGCAGTGAATGTGCACCCAGCTCTGACCACGACTCATTCTTTGGAGAGTCCTGGCGCCTCAGACGCAGAAGGCCAGTTTTGTGTGGTTCAGGCGCCCTCGCCAGAACGAGCGATATTCCTTCCCTTCATTGCCTTGGTGTCTTCCTGTTGGGGTGGGGGGTGATGGTGGGGAATCGCCTTTAACCAAGGGAGCCACAGATCTCACCGGTGCAGGAGGCTCTCAAAATGGAGCGCCGGCCTGGGGTGGGCTGCGGAGGGGGCGGCATGGGCGGCCTTTGGTATAGGATGCGGTTCCCAAGTGTCAGGTGCTACGCGGTGGTGTTCCCAGAGAGGCGGACTGCTTTGCCTGCTTTTAGGAGTCAGGAACAGAAACCTGGTCCGGTTCCTTTGGTTTTCCTCTGCCGGGACTGAAGCCCTGCAATCCCAGCCGTGGCAGGCCAGGGGGAGGTGATGAGCTCATTTTTCATCCTGACTTGGTGACGGGGCACACTTAGAATGGACCCTGTTTTCTGTTTCATCGAATGATTTTATATTCTACAGGAGAAAAGGGCTCGTAATCAGATTCCATAATAATGTTTTTAAAAATCAGCCTGGCTTTATCAGCTCAGAAGACAGACCAAAACCCAGGGTTTTTTTTTGTTTGTTTTTGTTTTTTTTCTAGTTAAAGCCAGCCCTTTGTCTTGAGCAGCCAGTGTTTTGGCCATAGATCTATTTCTGTTTCACTTTTGAGAGCACCTGTAATTACTGAGCTCTTGAGGTTTTATTGGATAATGTAGCAAAGGGAAGGCCTGGGGCTCTGTGTCTCCCTTGCCGTGGGATGTGCCACATCCTAGCCTTGCCTGCTCCCTCTGCGTTCCACTTTGATGCTGTTTTTAAGGTGGACCATACATGTCAATGTGTGATAACAATTTGGGAGACTTTGTCTTTGGAATCCAATAAATGGAAGGTCATTTGACCTGTGGAGAAACCAAAACACGTCAAAACCCCAGAAGAACAGAGATTTGCCCATACTGCAGCCAATGGCCCATTTATTTCCAGCAAGCCCTCCTAGAGATAGATTTTAAGTGAAATACAAGAACTTGGACACATTGCTTCAGAAGGTATCTCCGCCCCCTTTCTAGCCACAGGGTTGTGCGGAGTTAGAAGTGCAGTCTCTGGAAAGACAAGGACTGAACTCCGGTTGGTGCACATGTCCCAGCCTGGGCCCCATGCTCACCTAGCACCGTTTCAGCCTGGAGCTGTTTCCTCCTGTGAAGTGCTGGGGCTCACACCCACACCTTCAGGGCTCTGTGAGCACAGTGCCAAGGACTGCAGCGTGCAGACAGTGCGTGCCTGGTGATTGTGCATCAGGGCACCTGTCTCCCTGTGACACTTATTCTAAGGCCCTTTTTGCTACTTGTAAGTGGTGGAGTACCACGCCCACTCACAAACCAGTGATAATCCAGGGTACTAACAGGGGGCTCCAGAGTTTAGTTGGCACCAAAGTTTAAGCTACTTGGCAGCTGAATTTTAATCTAGATCGGGTTAGGTTTGTATTAAAATTTTGCATTCCAGCAAGCCCTAAACCATGCCTGTTCATTACCGGATAATGCATTCAATTGATGAGTTGCCAGCCCAGGATTGATGGAGGATTATGTGTATTCTGCTAGTTTGTCAGCATCTAATGTCATTGTGCTGAGGAAGGGGCTGGGGGAGGCATGTTTGGAGTTAGGATGACACACACTTGTAGATTTTAATCATGCTGTACTTTGGGGCTCCCTGTTCTCCCATGGTAGCAGTGGGTTTCTATGTCGTTCTCATGTCCTCACGTAAAGCTGCGCGTCTGTGAATGTCACGTAGCTCTTGTCCTTTTCCCCTTACATTTTCTAATCTGGGAATGACAGAGCGTGGCTGTATATGGAGATGGCAGCATGGGCTTAGGGGCTCTCTTGGTGCCAGTTGCCCTACGGAAAACAAGTTTCTTCAAATCACTTTCTGCAGAGAAAAAAGAAATGGTCAGAATCTTGCGGCGCAGACTGTGATCTAACTCCAGGTCATCAATACGGTTTGACAGGTAGAACATTTCTTAGTGCTGATGAGCACGGTACAAGTCTCAAGATTGTTTTTATCATCTGAGAAGCACAGTAAATCCTTTAGAGAGCCCTACCTTGGCCAAGTCGTTTCAAGTAAAATTGAATTTCAGAGGCAAAGCTTCACATCTCTGCATTGATGAGGCATGGCTAACTAAAGACATCCTTCCCAGAGACCTCTACACTCACCCTCTTCTGCCAGCAGCAGGGCAGGAAAGATGACTTCTCGGGGCTGTGTGCCTTTACCTTCATAAGCAAGTGCATGCTCAATGCTTGCTAATCCTGCAGCTGGGTATTTGTATCATTTTGGTGCTTGAGATACTAACCAATTTGGCAGGAAGCCAGGAGCCTGGGGATGGAGGTGCTTTCCTTGCTCTGTGTACCCTTAGGCAAGTGAGGTCTGTCCTCAGGCAGGTACAATATTAAGTGCATCTCTAGAGGACGGTTCCTTCCACCTGCCCAGGTGCAGGGGCTGTACTCACCTGTGCTCATGTCTGTGCATTGGCAGGTGATATAGATACACCTGAGCTGCAGACCCAACACTGGGTGTGGGCTCCGAGCTACCCCATATCAAAGCAGAGCCCAGGACTCTTCTCCCTTGCTGAGGCTGTGTCTCCTACCTATTATGGCCAACATGTCTCATCTGCTCATTGGTTAAAGCTAGAAATCTCTAAAGAGTTTCATAGCTCTTTCTCCTTCTTCACCTCGCTGTCTAATCGGGTCAGCACTCTCTGAGGTCTCACACCCACTCTTTCTGCACAGCAGAGCTTTATCTGCCCTTGGCCCAGAGCACGCCTCCAGTTCCTTCACTTCAGCCCCGCTGGCAGCACTTCACTGTTTAAAACACAGATTTCAGTCGGGCTCAGTGGCTCATACCTGTAATTCCAACACTCAGGAGGCCGAGGCGGGCAGATCGCAAGGTCAGGAGTTCAAGACCAGCCTGGCCAACACGGTGAAACCCCGTCTCTACTAAAAATAAAAAAATTAGCTGGGTGTGGTGGCAGGCACCTCTAATCCCAGCTACTTGGTTGGCTGAGGCAGGAGAATCGTTTGGACCCGAGAGGGGGAGGTTGCAGTGAGCCGAGATCGTGCCACTGCATTCCAGCCTGGGTGACAGAGCTAGACTCCGTCTCAGAAAAAACAAAATAAAACAAAAAAACCACCCACAGATTTTATCATCCCACTCTTTTCTGCCTCCCCAGCCCTGCCAAGGTTTGTTCTCTTACTCAGTAAGTGCTTCTGATACCTGCTGTGTGCCTTGTGCCAAGCTGGGCTCTGAGAAGGCTGGACCCAGGCATCCTCCCTACCTTTGCAGACTTTAAGGTCTTGCGCTGTGGGTTGTGTGTGGGGGACCCATCAAATAAGTCCAAGGGCCTTGAAGTGCTACGGAGGGGAGCTCCTACCCCAGGTTAGGGGGCTCCCTGGAGAAACACCCTCTAAGCTGACACGTGGGAGAGTTGGGGGGCA